TTTTGCTCATTTCGATCTTATTGCATTGAATGCCATTTTATCAAATTACATTCCTTCATATAGTATAGCTTACATTATCAACACCACATTTATTATCATTATGTGGCTACTTCTAATAAGGAGTGATAGAAAGATATATTCTTTTCTTTCATGCATGCAACTGTTGTATTTGACTTACAGTTCAAAAGGACAATGCAAAATACAATTTGCAAATGCTTCTATACTTTTTATATTCGTATCATTTCAAGCCTATTCTTTAATAAATACGTTCGTGGTTAGAAATGAGATTGGAGATAGGTATCACAAGTATTTTTTAGATACTTTCATCATATCAGAACCAGCAATGAAAGTATACTTATACTTCAGATGGATAGAAATAGCCATGCTGCAATATGTGACAACAGGATTATTTACCGTTCTGTACTGCACCATGTGTTACCATTTTTCAAGGATATTATCAAAATGGAGAAAGAGATTGCATGTTGCATTAATTTCAGATCACTTAGAAGGAATAACTCTACGTACTTTCAAGATATACTCTCTTCTTCTGGACCTTGCCGAAGAGTTTCAAAGATTCTTTTCAATACCTTCTCTTTTGTTCATAATAACCTCATCTATGACAATTTTTACTGGTACAGCTTACGCTTTGGCAAGGAAAAATTTCTTTGCTGACCTTAAATATGTTATACATGAGATGAAGTCGATTATATTTCCAACTATATTCTTGTTTTGCGTGATGGCTGCTGGTTCTCAAATTACAGCTCAAATTTATCATAATAAGTTGTTATGCCGCCGTGCTCTGGAAGCTTTCAATGGAAACCTCCATCGTTTAAAGGGTGGCAATGCTGTTATAAAGCAAATGCGAATAATCACAAATAGATCTGATTTTGTTCTTTCTGCGGGAAATATTGTTCCTTTCAACAGAAGCATGATTTTTGCAATATTTGGAATCATATTGACATACAGTTTTCTTATACTCAATATAAAATGAAAAAAAAATATAAAATTCCCTTTTTTAAATAAAATAAAGTTAAAGTAAAAAAATAAAGTTAAAGTTGCACTAGCGAAAGAACAAATGTTAACTAACTGGAGCTCTGTTCTTCATGCTGTCACATCAGTTGCATTTACACTTTCCGGCTGAAAGTATCCGGAACTCACCAAAAAATGTTCCGTATGATGAGTACAACTAAAGACGGTCCAAGAAAATGGGTACTGTGGGGAATGCTTTTCTTCGTTTAGTCCGAGTCTCTCAGTTCCTATGGTTGGAAAAACGAACTCTGAGATGTATGTAGACATTTCTGACAATGCTGCTCTTCTAACTGTGTAGCAATATTTCATTGAAAGTCAATTTTTGTTCCAGATGGATAACTGTTTCATTCGAGATTCCATTATCTTAGATTCCATTTACCAAGACTTGCACATTCAAAGAAGTTCAGATGCTGAATTGGTCTTTTCTGATGGCCCAATTTAAATTTAATAGAGCGATCATAAATGTCAGTTAGAACACAAATTACGTTGTCAGCTGATTCGACCATTTTTATTGCCAGGACTCTCCTCAACTGTGATGGATGCCTGCAAGTCAATTCCTGTGAACATCTAACAGAAACTGGTGGAAAGTTTCCCTAGGCGCTTGCCGACTGTCATCGATGTAAAAAGGGAATCAACATCATATTGATAATTGATGCATGTCCCGAGAATCTTCTATTCCGTACCACTGGGTTTAAGGATACTTTTGGACAGAGACTGAATATTTTTGTGCAATGACTGTACTCTCTCAAGTTACAATTCAAACGGCAGAAGGTTTGAAATCAAATAAGGACAACAGACCTGAAACTTTTTGATTACATAACATTCTTTAAATAAACTCTTTCTTAATAGTTCAAATTGAAAAAAATCTAAATAATTCAAATAAATTATTATATTACATTTTTTAAGGTTTAGCGGCTTTTGCATTTTGTGGACATTCTTCAATTTCATGTTCGCTTCACTACTAAACTAAACCCAGTGATGCGACAGGCTATAGAGGGCCAAGGCCTACTAAGACCTTCTCAGTTTTCTCGACCTTGGGCTCTGGGGTGTAGGAGCAGATGTTCTGATTGGGTGGTTACCCAAACGTGGAGCCCCCAGTTTTTAGTCCCCAAGCACGCTTGGAACTAATTTTATGAACTTACTGAAAGGATAATACGCTGAGTCAACCTTGCCCTGCCAGAGGATTGAACCCATGACCTATGCCACGAGAGTGCAAATAGCTTCCACTGAGCAACTGGGTGTTGTTCGCTCCACTAACATTGAATAATAAAAACAAAAATGAAGAATGTTCGCAACATTCTCGAATATGCTCCAGACTATAACATCTTCGTGTTATTCTACCAGCGATCACATCTTTCTATGTGAGAAGCTTCACCTGTCACAATAGACTTAAAGCAGCTTACAGAGACCCTTTGAAGACTCAGACACTTCATGCTAGAGATTCTATAAATCGACCCCCTTCAACACAGTTGATTCTTGGCCAGAATTAGACATACGTTATTTTAGTATAGAGAGGTAGTGGTATAAGCGGTATGCAAATGTAAAGTGCTGTAGTAAAGTTTAAGAACACTTCTTATGTCTTAATTTTTTTAATTATATTAGTTTGTAGTTTAATGACTTTCAATAATATATGGATAACATTGGAATCCTTGAAACTTCTTTGATTTGTGTTCTTTAGCAATAAATGTTTTTCTTTGTTTGTTTTTCGACAATTTTTTGTAGGGTTTCATCACCAAGCGTTTTTCATAGTACATTTGTTAACATTTAGAAAGTTGCTTATACTTTTTATAATCATCGTTAAACAGCGGACCCAATTCTGGGCTTACGACTTCCAATGTTCAAATCCGTAGCCTAGTAATTTTGAACACAATCGAGAAGATAAGGGGACTCTCGGATCAAGTATTGGAAGAAATTTGCCTTCGTGGAAGACTTCTTTGATGGAACTAACCCGCATTTGCTTAACATGGAGAGGAAAACTACGAAAATCTCCTACGGTTTGCCTGACGGCAAAGGGACTCTGACCCAATGATCTGTCTACCACTAAGGATAATTTACGTCAGAACTGAAGTCGGTGCGAGTCGGATGCGGAATTGGAATCAATCATCCATTGCCGGGATTCGAATCCGGTTCACCTTATTGGGAGGCCAGTACTCTATCCTTTGAGGCACCAGGACTCTGTAAAAATAGAGGCTGTAATAAATTTTAGTTTGGAAAGTGTTTCAGAGCTGAAATTTTTTGACCTCAGCTAGGTTTTTGGTGCAACATGAAATTAGTTTTTGACATCAAGATAGTAAAAGTGAATGTTTATTTCTATTGAAAGAAATTCTATTGATACCCGGAACCACAAAGTTTTAATAATCATGTCACTGCTTTATTACTTTAAAAATAATACAATTAATTATCTTTCAGTTGGTGAAATGATTACGTTATTTCGGATTAAAATTGTTTCCCATATTGACCTTCTAGTAATGCTTATACTATGGAGGTACTATGATGGGGGTGGTTAGACAAATTTGGTGGCTAGTTGAGGTAGCATCATTGTAGTATAAAGTGCATTATGGCAGTTTCAGATGCATTTTAATTTGAATATGAAGGAAGGATATTTATCTCAGAAGAATAAATAAAATTATTGAAGAAAAAATGATTTATTATGTCAGTCTTTTTATAATGAACATGGTTACATTCAATAAAGATTAATATAATAAAGAAATTATAAAATAAAGAAAGAAAATTCTTTATGGCGATCATGAGAATCATACTTGTACTCTCATCAAGAAAAATCGTTAATTAACGCTCGAAATGGGGTTCTAAGGCCCCAGTTCTTTCGCCAAGAATTCAAAATTAAAAGTCAAGTGAATTGTTCCCAATCGATAGTGAAGAGCTTGGAAATAGATCCATGGTTGGCGATTTATCGAAAGAAATATCATAGCAAAAAATTAAAACACCCCCTTAATTAACATTAAATTTGAAAATAATTTGGCTATGGCTAATCGCTAAAAGACTGTGAGAATTAGTATAACCATGTAACTGAAACATTTTCGTGGTGAGAAATAAAGAAGAAAGAGTTAAAAACAGATTTTGTTTTTGATTTAGTCTGCGCTTCGTTAGGTGTTACATTGATTGTTCGGAACAGAATAAAATATTTATATTATCCATTTACAAAATGTAATAAAAATTAATTAATAGGTTCAATTTAATTAAAATTCGATTAAGAATGATTAAAAATATATTTAAGAGATTGAAGAAATTTTAAAAACCAAGGAAATATGTAATGCCTATTATGGCATCACAGACACTTTTCTCAATGATCGGTTGTCAAAATTTCTTGTTAATTCTAAAACAACACGTCTTAAGAAACTTATAAAGGTTATTTAATTACTTTCTTTTAAATTTTTTTGCATTTATTAACTATTCTAGTTATTTTAATTTATTTTATTTTAGTTATTAGTAGTTTTCTCAAATAGTTACAGCAAATAAAGTTTCAATCGAAATAAATTATGGACAATTTATTCAAAATAAACTAAAAAGCTTAAAATTGACACAATTTTTTTTATGCATCAAAATTTAGAAACATATTTTTGTTTGTAAATTTTGAAAGTATTTAAAAATTATTCATACAAGATTTTAGAGTAATGTTTGTATACTTTTCGCATAGTACAACAGCACAAAAAAGTGCAAACCACTGCACCCACGGTGAACAATATTTATAGACTTTTTGCATGGTAGAATAGTACAAAAAAGAAATTCAAAACCATACAGACAGTTTTAAAAAAAGTTTCAAAAATGTGTCCCATTCACCATTAAGGAAAACGAGTTTCATCATTATTGGTTGTTTAAAAACCTGAAAAAATGAAAAACAATCTAATGACATGTAATAGTCTAATCGCATATATTTTATAATTTTTTCTTTCTATGCATTTGTTATAAATATCTGCGTAAGACAGAATTTTTCTGCAGGAAATAGATATCGGAGTCCAGAAACAGGAAGTGAAGACGATGCTGCATAAGAACGCAAGTGTCTTGGAGAAAATATGTTAAATTTTAGACGTTTAAAACAATTAGGGAAATTCTAATACAATATTTGGCACTCTATTCCTTTTATTTCTTTTGTTTTAAAATTTCATTTTCGGGGATAATTTTATTAAAAATGGTAAGTGCAATTATTTTTTCATCAAATAAACTGTTAAAAAAATTATGCCATTGCACATGTTAGTAATTTTGGATCATGTTAAAGTATGATATGTGTCGAAATTGCTGCAACCCTTATGTTGCAAGATTGAACAATATTATATAGATTCAACGTAGCATCATATTTTACTTCTGAAATTTGATTACATAATAACTGAAATTCAATTTGAACGTTATAGTTTAATTTAACACTTTTATTAAGGTTTTAGAAAATTTGAACCGTTATTATGGTTTAATATATTCATAATATGATCAACGTTGAACAAGTATTTTTTGCGAATGTAGATTTAATTTCCATAATGGTTGGTATTTTAAATATAAATAATATTTATTCAAAGTAAAATATTATACTTGTCAATAAACTTGAGTTATATTATACCTTTCAATTTATGCGAAGCTTTTAAAGTACTTGCCTTTTTTATAACAATTGAAAAAATGTTGTAATTATTATTATTATTTATAAATTATTAAATTAATTTTCTCTAATTTCAATAGCAAAAAACTTGTTGATAGATATTTCAGTGATTTTTTGAAAATTATTTTTATAGTATATAGAAATATTAGAGATTTGTTTTAAGATTTTGCTTATTTCATTAATATTCAGAATAAATTAGTGATTTAAAAATTCTGTTGATCTTAACATGATCTGAAAGAAAATTTCAAATGTCATTTAACAATATTCGTAAGTCGAGTTGAAAACTGAGTTTATAAGTGGTTTTGAGAAAGCCACTTTAGAATTATATCTGTTATAACACGAGATTCTATTGCTTCTAATTACTTCATTTTACAATACAACTCTCAGAGTAATAGGACTATTTACAATATATTATTTACATTGTTTGTTGGATGCATAAACTTACATCATAAAGATGAAAATCGTATCGAATTCTCTTAAACGCAACGTATCGTAAGTTCTTTAATTTAATATTATAAACATAAATAGGACATAAAATATAATTGCCAGATTCACAAACTCTAATACAAAATTAACTAGAAGAAAANGGCCCGCCTACACATTCTAAATTTAATATATGGCCCTCTGCAAAATTGAGTTTGACACCTCTGCTCTAAAGCAATACAAAAACCTAATGCTGTAACATTTCAAGAAATTAAAAGTTACGAATAATTCACAAGTTCTTTTGTTTCACGAGCACTATTCGACGTCTACATCGAATTGTTCTTGCTTCCTCTAATTGGATCTTATTTTTTCTTCCCATGGGATCTGCAATGCCTAAAACGTCTAAATCCCATACTTTTGGCAACTCCATATTTTGCAAACTTAATGCGACTAAGTTAACCTTTTTCTTTTTTCTTCCTAGACCTAAGATCTTAACACTTTTATTTTTCCAGTCTGAATTCTTCCAAGTACATCAGCTCCTATAAGAAATCTAATAGGGGGAGTGTCTTTTCCAACATCTGTTATTTTTATTCCTCGCGAAGCTAGATCAGCAAGTAAACTTCTATCCTGTATCCTTGGCAGCTCTGAGCAAATCTTTGCTTGGTCAAGAAGAGATATTGAAGTTGTATATTTGTGATTTAAACTTTTAACAGTTACTATATATCTCTTATGCTCTGAAGCAGGAGAAGTTCCTCCGCCAAACAGTCCTTGAGAAAATACTTCGCTTCCAGAGGGAGAAAGTTTCAGTTCTTCAGCCAAGGATATAGGAACGATATAGGAACGCTGTGATCCATCATCCATTAGAGCACGAACACAGATTTCCTTGTTTCTGTTTCGTAGTCTGATCGTAATTGTTTTGAGATATATTTCACGTTCGGATGGACGATTCGTAAACAATATTTTTGTTGATTTCTATTCATCACCTGCTATTTTATCCTTAGATGAAGAATTAATTCCTTTACTTAGATCTGGACAAAGTATTGTGTAATGCCTCCGTTTACAAACTAAGCATCTTACATTACTGTGACATCCTTTTGCCATGTGAGCAGACTTGAGGCAGACAAAACAGCATCTCTTTTGTATAACTCGGGATTTTCTGTCCTCAAAACTCATTTCTGCTATTTTCTGACAGTCTTGACTTGGATGTGAACAGTCACAGAAAATAAAATTGTTTTTTCCTACTGATATGTTGGCGATTAGTGTAGTAGCAATAGGTTCATCTGTTCGGATCGATTTGTGGTAAACTTTTCTTTTCTCGCCACTTCCCTTATCTCTACCAAACCCTTCACGAGCTAAACTGATTATTTCTTCAGATTCGACCTCATGTCTCAAAAAAAAATTAGTTTTTCGAGGGATCTCTGACTGGTAACGTCATCAGTATTTTCAGAAATTCTACTCCGTTCTCAGGCTCGCATAACATTTTCAGGTAAGCATGACTCCACAAGAGGCTCTAGAAAATCAGCAAATTTCTCTTTCGTACGTCCCAAACTTTCCAAAGCTCTTAATTTTGTTTCCAGCATATCGTAGAGGGTTGCTAAATCAGGAGAATTCTTTCCGGCAGTTGCATTTTTCATAACAAGAGAAAGGAGATCTCGAACGTATATTTGTACTAAAAGATCTTCTCTGCCAAACCTTAATTTCAATTGTTTAATGGCTTTCGGATAATTCTCTGTTGTTATAGGGAAACTGGAAACTAATCTTGCTGCCCTGGATTCGGGTACTATAGATTGGTATAAATATTGGAACTTGTCGATGGCAGATAAATCTTCGGATTCATGAATTTTTGAAAATATACTCCAGAATGTGAGACATTCTTTAGGGTCACCAGAGAATGTCTTCAATTCAAATTTCGGTAGTTTTAATTTCACGGCATTATCCTTTAAAGAACTTTTGGCGATGGAACCGGAGTCCTTATTTATAAAAGTTGCGAATTTTGCGTCTAGTTTAAGATAATTATCTCTGTAATTTTCCGCTGCTTCAAAATCCGTTTCGTATTCAGCAACGGTCTCAGGTTTTTCTAAAAGTACTGAGGATATTTCATTTTGAATTTCATTCAAACGAGAAAATTTATCTTGCAATTGTGACCTTAGTGCGGGCAACTGATTAATATCCTTGGCAACAGTTTCCGGTGTTGCCAAATATTGCGCCAACTTATTCGACGCGGTCGTAAAAGTTGTTCTTAATGACTTTCTTTTCACTTTTTTTTTGACTAAATATTATTTACATATTCTTAATGTAAATAATATTTAGTCAGTTTAACTAAATTCACTTAATAAGCCCTCTACTTATTCTAAATCTCGAGTTATTTTTCGTTCTTAAACTTAATTCAGATCAAATGTATAATTTCTACATAAAAGGAGACTTCGTAAAAAAAGATATAACAGAAGCAGCCAAAATTCAAAATTACTCGTACCTGTTTTATCCTTAACAAAGTAATATCTTGTTCGTAATTTTGCCGTCTTCTATTTCACATCGGAATGCAGAGTACAATGTCTATGTCACGGACGCCACTTTGTTATGACTCGAGATTCTTTTGCTTCTAATTACTTTATTTTACAATACAACACTCAGAATAATAGGACTATTTACAATATATTATTTACATTGTTTGTTGGGTGCATAAACTTACATCATAAAGATGAAAATCGTATCGGATTCTCTTAAACGCAACGTATTGTAAGTTCTTTAACTTAACATTATAAACATAAATAGAACATAAAATATAATTGCCAGATTCACAAACTCTAATACAAAATTAACTAGATGAAAACATGACGGAAATGTTAAACTTGAAGTGAGTGGCAACAATATCAAAACAATGAGCTGTTTACGAAACATCTTTTTTCTGTTTAAAATCTCTTCATTTAAGATAGAGCATCATTTATTTTTTTAAAATTGATTTTAGGATTACGATTGGTTTCAAAATATAACAGCTGTTAAATAATACTATTGTAACTTTCGCTGCAGAGATTTTCTGCTGATTTAAGCTGGAATTTTATTAAGCTAAGTGCAATGGAAGCTGCATTAGCTGTAAATGTCATTGTGTGCGTAAAATTAGTCTTTTCCTTTCTTATGCTTGATTTGAATGAAATCTACCTATTAGTTAAAAATGAAAGTATGCATATCTAAAACAAAATGGCCACGTGACCGATATTATAAGACATATGAAAGGCAGATACTCATACTTTTGCAATAGTATGCGCATATCACCTCTGCGCATCCTAACACAAAAGTATAGGAATTCGTCTCCTGTATGCTTCTTTCTTAGCGCTTGTCTCGTCAGTGTGTGGTCTGCCATGGTAAAACGGCAGACGCGCCAACTCCAAATCTTTTCAAAGTTTGTTCTAAAGTTCAACTGTTTCGTTACGCTATTGTTTTCAATCTAAGTTTAGTAAAACGGAGGCGCATTTGACAGAAAATGGTCTCGAAACATTTGATTGATAAAAACTATTACATTAAAAACAAAAATATTATGATTAATATATGTGATAAAAAATAAAATAATTTTCCGTGTTTAGGAATTGGGAACAGTTTTTTGAAATTCAAGTATATAAAAAATACACAAATGAAAATCAAGTAAATAAGAAATACGCTTATTGTTCTTGTTTATTTCATAAATATAAGAAATTAAAAAATTCTCCCATTTTCTTAAAGTGCCTTCAAATTGCGATAAATTGTGTAGGGTGTTCTATAATGACTACCCTTAACATATATTTTTGGAATTCTTTTCAAAACGGAAGTAGAAATAGTATGCTCACAAAGCGTCACAAATTGCTATTTAAGTCAAAAGCGCTTTCGAAATCCATCATTAGTGAAGAAGGCATCAAAATCAGTTTGATTGCCTGATGAAACTATTCTAAAAGTAGTCAATCAAGCAAGTTTTGACGTTTCACGTTTTAAGGGATTTTTCAGATTTTAAAAACTTTTTGCCCCTTCTCTGCTTAAATACATGATTTTCAACTCCTTACTTGCACACTTTCTTGAATTCATTTTGAAAGGAAATCTAACAATAAGTAATAAAGGTGGTCAATACGGAATACCCAATGAATTGAAATTTTATAATAAAACTTAGCTGCTCTGCTTAGGTATAATAAAACGTTTTTGTTCCTTCCTTGCTTAAATGTATCATTTACAACTCCTAATATGCATATTTTCTTAAATTCATTCTGAAAATGATTCTAATAATAAGTGATATGGTCATTATGGAATACCTTGTTCTGCTTAAGTGTAATAAAACGTTTTTGTCCTTGCTTAAAGACATCATTTGCAATTCTTAATATGCACAATTTCTTAAATTCATTTTGAAAAAGATTCTAATAATAAGTATTATAGGCGATCATTATGGAATACCCAATAAATTAAAATTTTAAGAGTAAGACTTAGCTGTCATCTTTGGTTTATATATAACGTTTTTGTTCCTTACTTTCTTAAATATATCCTTTGCAACCAATAAAACATGCACACCTTATTAAATTCATTTTGAAAAGGATTCTAACAATACGTATTAAAGGTGGTCAATACGGAATACCCAGTGAATTGAAATTTTATGAGTAAGGCTTAGCTACTCTGTTTAGGTTAAACGAAATATGTTTTTGTTCCTTCTTTGCTTAGATATATTTCATTTGCAACTCCTAATGTGCGCACTTTCTCAAGTTCATTTTGAAAAGAATTCTAATAATAAGTCTTAAAGGTGGTCTTACGGAATAAATTGAAATTTTATGAATATGGCTCAGAAGCTCTGCGTAAGTGTAATAAAACGAATTTGGAGACGAGTTCTTGATCTCATCTGTAATTTTATGTTAATATTTTTTACAGATTAGAATTTATTTCCGGTATTTTCCTTGTGTACATTATTTTATTAAATTTTCGCAGTTATTACCTATATGACTTTTTATTTCTAATTTTAAATGTAATTATACATATTTAATTTTGTTTTAGAGGAAAGAATTCATTTGGAACTCTATAAAATAATATCTCACTAATTTGATATAAATTAGTGACCTCCCTTACTTGAAATGAGAACGGTAAAGTGGTTTTTGAACTCATTGTTGGCGATCTGCTTAATCTGCAAAACTGGTAAATAGATTTTCTAATTTAAAACTGTATTAAGTAAGTGTTATGTGAATTACTTTTGTTTATAAGTTGCTTTTTAGTTCCTTATTTTAGTTTCTTTGTTCTCAAGGCATAAAACTTCGTTAAATTATTTGCTTTACTCTAAATCATGAATTTCGTATAATGTATATTCCACAAAAAGCGAATTTCTGCATGGGTTTTAAACTAATAATTTTTATATGTATTTATACGATTAAGTAAGCTTTATTATTTTTTTAAATCAGAAGCGTAGTTTTAATTTTTATTCTAATTTATGTTGAGAAATAATTCCTGATCATTTCAAAGCCTTTTTCAAACCATCCTTAAAAATTAAATTTTTACACTAATGGGTTAAGAATTGGGAGTTAAGGAATTTATGATTGATGAAGAATTAAAAATTTTAATGATTTATTTTCATAGCGAATTTATTTAAACAATCTTAAGTTCTTTTTACTGAACTGCGGGAAAAGGTTGAAATGTAGAACACCCGGTTCCGATTGTATTTTAAAATCAAAAAAATTAAAAATAAAATACATAAAATATAAAAATATTTTCATTATTTTATTATTTTTATGTATATTTCATAAATTCTTAAATCTATCACTTTATAAATTCCTAATCTTGTCATTTTTTTTATATTAATAAGTGTATTATTTCTTATTTTAAACTGAGATTTTGTCTTATACATTTTGAGAAGCCTTTAATCATATTTCGTATATTAAAATATAATGAAGGGAAAAATTACGAATTCAACTTTTGAATGAAAATTTTTACTTTAGTTGTAAGGAAACGAAAAAAGTTGCAGAAGTATAAAAATTACGCAACATGTTAAATAAATATCAAAGTTTAAATTAATGAGGGATTATTTGGAACTTGATTGCTCCAAACAATGACAGGTTTTGGGAAATATAATGAAAAACAAAATTTCTTTAAATATACAGGAAAGCTTTTGTTTTTATTTGTTTATTTTGTGCAAGGCTAGGAATTCCATAAGGGTACTGAGATTTTTGAACACATCGTGCTGCCATCTAAGGGAAGTTTTGGAAACTACACACCTGGGAACAAATGTATATAAAAATGTCTACTTTTGAAAAAAAAAATTGTTGATTATCGCTTTATTGCCCTAAGACTATTAATTATGTTCACTAAACTTTTTTTTGAAGGCAAAGTTAATTAATTATTATATAATTGAACAAAATTTAAATTTTTCTTCAAGCTATGGATAAATTCTATTTTCTAGTTGACCTCCAAATAAATAGCTATGGAATTAAAGCCTACTTTATCAATCGTACACTTGATACTCGAAACCCTTTTATTACAATTTTAAATCAAATAATAATAAAAAATAATTAATATCACATCTAAGAGGAAAAGTTAGTTTCTCTAAAATGTTTTGTAGTGTGAGAGAGAGGAGGATTTTGTGTTGACCTTCGGTTGGGAACGAGCCCGGGCTTTTTTGAGTAAGTATCCTTATGCTCTGACTCAGAGGTTCCCAATTTTTTTCGGTAATGCAACCCTTAATGATCAACTTGATTTTGGCGGAACCCTGAGATTTAATGAAGTAATTTCCGTAGCAATCGTGAATATATTGACCAGAAAACGACTATGAATTATTTTGAAAATATTTAAGGAATGTATGAAGTATGGAAGTTTTCATTGTATCGTTTTATCGCTTTCCTTAAAAATAAATTTACCCAGTCTTAAAATTGGATTTTATGTCAGAAAGTTGAATTCGCAAGTAAGGAGGGACATCTATTCTAGTTCATAATTTGATTTTAGTGTATGCATAAACTGAAAATGAATATAATAATGTAATATTGTCTTTTTTGAGGGGGAAAAAAAACGGAAAAGAAAAGGAAAGCATGCTTTTTCTTACGTATTTTTATTTCATGTAAAATGCTGATGTAATTTATCATAAGTGTAAATCCTTTTAATCGTTTATTCAATGTATTGTTAATAGAAAATAACTTTTCGTAAAAAAAAAAATTATTTCCTTTTGTTCACTAGCATTTCAATTAAATAAAATTATAAAAATGACGGAAATATAAAATAAATAATGGATAATTAATTAGATATAAATTTAATGACAGGATTCAAAAAACGTAACTGATTAAAAATGTTCTAACTCTCGTAACCCTGTGACCTTTCTACGGAATCCTATGGTTCCGTGGAACACCATTTAGGAAACACTGCTCTAACCCCCTTGGGAGGATATATTTTCTCTCGACTAGGGTGAGTTAGGAAGCTTTACATATTAACCGGCGAAACATTTTTGGCAATTTTTAGATTTTTTCCTTAAAATTAAATTTACACCAAATTAATTAAAAATAAGACTTCATCATTTATTTTTGGGGAATGATATTGATTTATTTGTTAGAAATATCTCACTTCTTCTTTTGAGAATGAACTGCATTTCCTTTATGATTTTCTCGTTTGAGTGACTTTTTATCAACATAAATTTTTATCTGCATAAATTTTTTTGTATTTCACTAAATATATCGCCTAATTTTATTTGTTTGTTCATTTTTAATTTAGTGAGCCCATTATACTCTCAAAAGAAGCTTGTAAAAGAAAGAAATTGCAGTGGTATACGGAGAATGAAAAATGCTACATCTGATGGAACGTATTTAGTAGACGTAGACGGAGAAGGTCCTTTACATCCTATATGGGTAGATTGCCACATGGGTGATGGAGTTGATCCATATCAGGTACATGCACTTTATGCAAAATTTATTTAGAATGATACAGTTGTGTTTTAGACTTCAATTAAATCTTTATAATGTATTACTCGCATCAAGAAATTTTCATATGCTATTTTAAAATATTTTCGTTCTTAAATAACCACAATAAAAAAAAGCGAAAAATCGCCATGCAATTAAAAAAAAAAGCTCGAATTTTAATTTTTGCATTATTTTTTACTGTTCAAGCACAATATTATCCAAATTGTTTGCAACTCAGCACGGTTTCTCATCAAAAATATAGCTGATTCTCTTTCAAATATAGTTAAAAGTACCGATATTATAGATCAGTTTTAAGTCGGAATTTTTAAGAGATACGGTACCTTAAAGGTATGGTTAGTTGACTGATAGTAAATAGACTTTTAATAGTTTATGATTCAGAATAGGGTTAAGATAGGATCAAAAGCAGTATTAACCTATGTTTGAAACTTATTTTTAGATAGTGACAATTGTTCATCATAACGCTGAAAAAGATATGGATGTCCGAGGTTACGAAGAGGCTGGGAAATATGCTCTTAATATATCTTATATGGGAGCTTCTGAGGCTCACGTGATGAGTCTAATAGATTCATCGTATTCTTGTCAGCAGTACATTAAATGGGCTTGCAAAGGATCTATGTTTGGATTTTGGTATCCTCCTGATCTTACAAGTTGGTGAGTGTATTCAAATCCATCTTTCAATCAAAACATTGGTAATTTTGCAGAAACAATTTAAGCATCAGAAAAATAAGGATATTTTTGAGAACGTCCATATATTAAGCATGACCACTGTGGATAAGGCACTGAACAGAAATCGTGATGGAAAATAGTTTTATTTTATGCGATCTAAATTTTGCTAATTGGGTATAATATAGCCTACGTCACAGGTTGTGTTGTTCCTACTAAATTTAACCCATGAACGGCATTTTCTGCGAGCCTAACTTCAAGCCACAAATAAACAAACGAAGTGTTCGATCGTTTAAATAGCTGCTCGCCAGATTTTATTGCATTATAAAGAAAAGTTATTGAAACTAAATACAACTAAATAAACAACAACAACTA